AATCGCTGACTGGACATCCCTTCGGCTCGGTTTAGGTGAAAAACTCGTTCCAAAGGCTAGGCTGGATTTGCTTGCTATTGGGCCGCTATTAAGCCATTAATCGTTAAAAACTCGAGAACTGGAGCGACCAAGTGAAAACTGTCCAGCCAGAACCAGTCCAAACTTTCACCTCCAAAAGCCACTTGCAACTTCTGTCAAAGAAAATCCAACATCTCAAAACTGGTTTAGAAACGTTGATTACATGTCCCCAATACCCATTTTTTTCTCTTTCATGGGTATGGAGAAGAGGAGGCGGAGAAGAAGAGCATAAAGAAGAGAAGGAAGAAGAAGAGAGAAGAGGAAGAATAAGAATGTCTCCCAAGATTAACACTGATTACATCCAAAACTAGCAGATCAACAACAAAAATAATGACTAAAATGATAGATTGGAGAGGGAAAAAAAATGGGCATCATCTTTAGCAGGTATGAAGTCTAAGGCATTGTGAAATGCTGGAGAAGAAGAAATTTTGACGGCGCCATGTTTGAGCTTGAGAAGCTGAGAGAGTTTGAATACACATAAAGTTAAAAATTGAAAAGTAAAAGTTGATGTGGTGTTTCAGCAAATTGACAGATTACTATTAACTCTTTAATTTTTATTTTAAAAAGATAAAAATTGCCTTGATTTTCATTCATCTCTGCCGTCTATCAATTTAATCTCGTTTTTTACTATTTTTACAACGGCCAACACATTCCCAATACTGAACATAGAAGGCTTGTAATGATGGCATCCTGTGTACTAGCCACCAGGCATCAAGTGATGTACAGCTAAGGAGCAAAATTACGAAATTAATTCTAATTTTAGATTAAAAAAATCGATTCTATAAGTGTCTATATATATATATATTCTACCATAAAAATTTTTTTATATTTGTATGCATATAATATTTATTTAATTTAATTATTACTTCACTGGTTCAATCAAATGGTCTGACTGATCTGACCGTTTAAACCATGACCCATTAGTCTCTTTGGTTTTATGTCCGGTCCGGTTTTTAAAACATTAGGCCATACATACGTTTAATGATGATTCTGTTATTTTAGGAAGTCTGGTCTCTGATGGTGCTGCCAAACCTGGGTCACCTTTTTAAGTAGTTCCGTCCGTATACTCCAGCAATCTCAGGTCCAATATTCTTTTAGGGGTTGATGATCCTTACCCCCAAAAAAAAAAAATACTAATAATAAAAAAACCTTTTAATTTTCCTATAAATACTACCTCTTCTTCTCCCTCAATCTTCCCCTCCAAGTTCCATCTTCCATCTGTTATGTATTTTCCCTCATCGTCTTCCTCTTGAATTAGGGCTTCGATGCTAGCTGTTCTTCAAGCCTATGTGGTCCTATATGTATTAATCCACAGCTTTCTTGAACTGCATCGATCTGCTTGTTACAGATTTAAGATCAGTTCGACTGATAATTAACAGTTATTTGTTGCAGCAGTTCAAGAAAGCTGTGGGAAGATACGTATAGGTTCAAATCATCATCAATCAACTTTCAAGCTTCAAGATAGGGTCCGCCTTCAAAACATGGTATTACAATTAAATCTGCAGGTTTCTTTCATCATATATATATATATATATATATATATATATATCAGATCAGGATCATGAGATGCAGTGATCCAGTTCTTTATGAATATATGATCTTTGATTCCAACTTTTGACAGGTGCAGAATCACCATGAGGAAAAGTTCAGAATTTCTTGCTTTTTCTGCAGATCTTCCGATAGTTGTTAATTTACAGGGGAAATTGGTGAGATCTTATTATGGATATCTTCAAAGGGGTGCATTCATCATGATCGATCCTAGATTTCTAAATAAAAACATGTCTTTCTTATATATAATCCATCTTCATCAAACTTTTCTGTCGGCAAATGTCAGAGATGACTGCTCATCACCATATGCTTTGCGCTTTGTTTGTTCGTGTTATCTATGCACAACTAATCCACCACTAGGGAGTTTATATCCATATTATTATATTAGTAAGATTGGAACAGTTGTCCCTACTTATCCATTAACTAAGAAAAAGTTCAAAAGAGACGAAAAGTTGTTTGGTGCATCCTAATTATATGAACATATACTATTGTTTAATTATATCCATATATTTAGTTGATTGGACCTTATATTTGTCTTTGGCTTTTTAAGGTTGGTCTCGTTTCTATGATCTAGTTACAGTTTAAATTAGATCCTTTACAATCAAATATTTATACTTCCCTTTGCCCTTAATATAAGAGCTAGTTGATTAATTTGAATAGATTAAGAAAATTAGTTAAGTTAATTATTTATAATAAATAGGTATTGCTATCGTAAAATATTTATGCTTATCAAGTATATTGGCTAGAAATACTATTATTACAAGGATTACCTTAGGAAAAAATAGATAAATATAAAAGACAAAATGGATTGAGATCTTACATGAAAGGCTAAAATAAAAGTCAAACGTTCTCTTATATTAAGAACTGGAAATAGTATAAAGAAACAGACACCAAAATGGGTTTTGTATGATGCTCTAACAGATCCGAACCATTTAGGTACAAAGGGAAGGAAACTTTTTTTGAATTAAAACTTAAAAGATGAAAGTGATGGAGCAGGCTTCTCTCCGCTTGCTACTCCCATTCGCTCCCCTCCTTTATCCAAAATACTGTCGTTTTTGGTGTAAAATAACTCTAGATTATTTTTCTAAGAGCACTTTATATCTTAAAATAATTTTGGTGTACTCAGCACCCGCGTTTGGCTTCTCTCCTTTACCATTTCCATCCGCTGCCAAAAAAACGACAACCTTTTGTTTGTTCCAAAGTAGAGCGCCTCTGCAAGAAAGTGTCGGATGGGGGAAATGATACGTGAGAGTGTGAGAGTAGCATCCTGCTATGGGCGGAGCCCTCTAACAAATAAATATAAAAAACTACTTAACCCCCTTCACTAATTTACTTCACTTAAATCAAATTTATTTATTAAAAATTAAGAATGAAGTACAACCCATTTTTTTTAAGGTTCATATTTCAATATTTAAGACATTTTAGAAAAAAATTAAAAACAATTAATGTATTACCCCACCTACATTAGGGATATACTTGGTCCGGTATTTTTAACATGTTTTACATAGATAAAAAAAAATCTTAAACTACAGTTACCTTGTCTTAAAATATAATAAATTTTTTATTTTATTCCTATTTAATATGTATATTTTTTAAAAATGACATTCTACACTATAATAAAAAAACAAAATAGTATATTCATATTAAAAGTTTAATAATATAACTTATAAATATGACTAATAATAACTTTTTCTATTTTCCTTATAAATAAGATTAGAGAAGCAAATAGATTAGTGAGATTTAACTGAGTAATTTTTTATTTATCTAAGAATAAATGCATTAATTATTTTAAATTTTTTCTTAAATGTCTTAAATATTGAAATATGAGCCTTAAAAAATATGGGTTGTACTTCATTCTTAATTTTTAATAAATAAATTTGATTTAAGTGAAGTAAATTAGTGAAGGGGGTTAAGTAATTTTTTATACTTATTTGTTAAAGGGCTTCACCCATAGCAGGATGCTACTCTCACACTCTCACGTATCATTTCCCCATCTAACACTTTCTTGTAGAGGCGCTCTAGTTAACTTGAGGCGGAACAGCCAAAACGTTGTCATTTTTTTGGCAGCGGAGGGCAGCGGATGCAAATGGCCAAGGAGAGAAGCCAAATGCCTCAGCACCCTAAAGGCGGGCTCGAATTGGAAGAGGGAGGGAACTTCTATTATGAAAGTTTTTTTTCCCCCTTATTTTCTGGTGACAGAGCTAAGGGGTGTTTGCGGACTGTTAGTTGAAAGATAAGATTGATCCATTTTTAATATGTTAGGGATAAAATCACACTTCAAAATATTTTGAGGTGCTATATACACCTCAAAAAATATCTTAAGATGCTGAATACACCTTAACCCCATATTAAATTACCAGTAATGCTTCCACTAAAAAAGCCAGCAATGCTATTTTTTTTTTCCCTGTCATTGAGCAAATAAGTTTTATATTTATAATTTTATACCTGGCCATTCCGTATAAAAAAGGCGTCCCTTAGGCTTTGAAGAATATATATACACACATACATATGTATATAAAATCCTCAGGGTATATAATTTGTCATTGTACTGATAAATACAATGATAAACTATAAAATAAAAATTATTAAAAATAATTTTTTTGATATTATTTTTGCATCAAATATATGAAATAGAATGTACGTAGGATAAAGATAATTAATTAAGTATGAATTAACAAGCATATTTATTAAGAAATAAAAATCTTTAAAGATGTATTGCGAATGTAACTTATCCCATCAAATGTTACTTTTTCGTGCAGTTCAGATCATCCATTTTGTTGGCACTTGACGTGTTTGCAGTTGGTCAAGTTACGTTTGGATGCAAAATTTGTGAATTCGTCACACATGACGTCATGGTTTTTTTTTTAAATTAGTAAACACAGACTCCAGCAAGCATTTTAGGGTATTGGGAAACGATTCCGGTCGTGCATGCTTGCTTGCCGTTACATATGGTCAGTTGTTTGATTCTGGGGCTTGTAGAAATGTCAACGACAGCCTTTTTTGGGCATGTTTGGATAAAGACTTGATGAATAGATGTAGATTATGGTCTTGTTTGGTATAAAATATTGGAAATGAGGAGCAAAGATTAGGATTGATATTGAGAAAAATCATTAAAAGGTGTTTAGTATAAATAATTTCTTGTTATATAGAATTAAGAAATTCTATGTAGATGGGGTTAAGGAATACCACCTCCCCAGTGATACTCCCCGATCCCACTTATATAGATTTGTCCTATTTCAAGTAACAAGTAATCACTCGTATTAAATACTTTTTTTTGTTCCAAAATCATAAATGATTATATTCAAATATTACCTCACCCTTTGTTTATTCTATATATAACACAAACTGTACATACCTAGTCGCATGCATTATTCATAAACCATTTATATATGTGTATATATATAGTGTGACTCTCTTTATACTCGGATCCATACAAAGTAACATGACGACAATCTAGTTTATTTATAAAACTCAATGACTCCCAAAGCAGTGGAGGCAACACGAGCTGCAATACGGTAGCTAGAAAAGCCACTATCTTTGCAAAGAGCTTCAAATTCTTCCTCTGTTCTTTCCTTCCCACCAGGTTGCACAAGCATGAGGTTGTCAGCAATCGATACATGCTTATGCCCGTCGCTTCCATTTGGTATTTCTGGCATTATAAGGTCAATAATAATAAGCTTGCCTTCATTTCTGAGAGATCTATGGCAGTTTCTTAAAATTTGTACGCAGGTTTCATCTCCCCAGTTATGAGTTATGGACTGCAAGACATTAAACATATATATAGCTTATCATTAGCAAACCTTAAGAACTTGTTTGGTATGAAGGAAATGAAGGGGAGGGAAAGGGAAGAAAAATTTTAATGAGCTCAATTTAGAAAATTGAAGAAGTAGGGTTTTAAGAGTTTAATAAAAACAAGATGTAATATAAAAGAGTAATAAGAATTAATTAAAAGCTTTTAACCCCACTTTAATTTTCTAAATCAAGCTCATTAAAATTTTTTCTCCTCCCTTCTCTTCTGTTTTCCTCATACCAAACAGACCTTTAAGAATAATAATAATTACTATTTAAAATTAATTATAGTGTTAAACTGACCTTCATCATTATAGCATCCCCTTGTGGAACGCTGTTGAACATATCTCCTCCAACATGCTTCATTCCTTTAATTATATCCAAGGAAGATCTTATGATAAGCTCAAAGAAAAATTTTGCATGCGTGGGTTTTGAAAATTATATAATTCAATTGATTAATGGGTTAAGGTGCAAATTTACTTTCAAGTGCAAAACAACCCGTGAAAGTTCAAAATAAGAGCAAAAATGACATCGCTGTTGACTATGTCATATGTCAAAAGATCTTTCTACAGTGGTTCGGAAAAGAATATTTACACCGACTCTATAACCAGTGTAGATATAGTAATATACACAGGCGCAGAAAATGAATTTTTCTATACCAATTGTTGTTAACTAATTTAGAAAAGGCTAACCAAAAAGAAAAGAAGAATCCTCCTCACTTTCTACACAGGTTGTAATGTGTAGAAAGTGTTTATATGTCAAACATGTGCGTGTGTAAGCGTGTGTACCTGGACAGGATAATGCATGTTGTATCACTTGTGGCAAGTCAAAGTTAATGCCCTGAATTGAAGGATACTTGGAAATGACCATTTTGAGGCTTTGGCCAATGCCACCACCCACATCAACAAGTGTTGATATTCCCTCAAATCCTTTGTATTTCTCAAGTACATACTTCATCATCATGGTTGAGAAATCAGCCATTGCCCTATGAAAAATAGTTTTGAAAGTTGGATCCATTTCCATATATTCATACATAGGCATCCCATGAACTTTCTTGAACAGGTCCTCTTCCTCATCAAGAATCACTTGCTTGAAGTTTTGCCTGGCATCATGTGTACAAAACATGAAATAGATAAACACAAATTGGTGATTATGAATCAAAACATGAAATGCTTACCAAATTTTTACGTAGGCGGGATGATTACATAATTTGAAGAATACAATGCTGGAGGTTTCATCTTCATCGGGGATTAAGCATTTACCACTTGGAGATAGACCATAAAACCTCTCCTTCCTGCCGTGTTGATCAAGTTTGTTGGAAGAACAAGTCAAGAGAGAGTAATTAGAAAGCAAAAACAACATTCGGTCAAGCCGACAAGCCATGCCCGCATATGGATTTTCGAGCTTGGAAGCGATTTTAGAGGGAGACATGCCTTCAGGGCTTCCTTTACCAATGATCTCAAACAAGTTCAGATCAATAGCAGCATTTAACACTGCAAGGTAAATGGGATCAGACGCCAACACCAGAGGATTTAAAGAGGAATTAGAATCATATTCATGATTCTCAATGTTGGTACTCATAGTTGCTACAGCTTCTTGTTGTTGTAGATAGACTCTCTAGTAGTAACTACGGAGGATGATAGAGCAAACTTAGAATCCTAAAGTTCTCACTGCCTGATTTTCTAGGTCTAGTTATGTTGGTATTTATACGGTGTAATTAAATAGTGAGACCCTGCGTTATTGCATTGAGTCCTCATACAAGTTATACCATTATATTCATATGATGACAACAGGACAACTTTTTATAAATTTTTTAAAAATATAGTATAAATTTGACCTTTGACAATTGAAGTCTTTTGTGATATTGAATGTAATAAGCAAGCAACGCATTTATCGGTGAAAATTATCTAGAATAAAAAACAAACCGATAAATGTTCGCTTTGAAAATTTGTACAATTTATGATTCTTTTATAAGCAAAGTCGCATGAGTTCAATAAAATTGTATAATTTAAAATTCTTCCATTGGGCATGGAGCAGATAATTGGCGGAAGTATCAACCTATATATCTGTGTGCGTATATTATATGCAATATAGAATTCATCAAAAGTGATCACATTCTTGATAGTTTAATTAATAGTACGTAAAACTTCAAATTTTATAAAATAATTCTTTTAAGGATAGACACCCATGCATGATCAAGACAAGGAAAAATATAAATATATTTTTGCATCCATATTTTCTGACTTTAATTTTTTGATGTAGTTTGCCAGTTAATTGGAAGCCATTCTGATTTTTTTTTTTGATAAAGTGGAAGCCATTCTAATGTATAAGTTTTTACTATTGTGCAATTCAATTACTAAGAACTTCTGTGAGTGTGTATAACTATTTACAGTCTTTATAACACTAAATGTAGAAACTGGTTGAAAAACTCATTTGGTCTAGGTTATAGGACCGTAATCTTTTTATATATCTCATTAATTAATTTTTTCTCAAATTATCCTATTCATTATGATTTCTTTTAAAATTTCATATTGAAATCTCAATCGTTAAAAGTTAAAATTAGGGTCATTTAGGACCTATCCAATACATAAAATTTAAATATATTATATCCATTACTTCAAAATTACTTATTAGGGAAAATTAATCTTTTGGTCATTTAACTTTTAACTCACTTATAACTCGATCCCTTAACTATGACTCGCTTTAACTCAGTCCTTCAACTTTTAACTCGCTTATGACTCAGTCCTTTTTATTTTTAGTTTTTTAAAAAATGATCCTTATCATCCATCAGTCATCCCAACTCGTCCTACATGGAAGAAAACGCTGTTAACGCCGTTAATAATTACTATGTGGCTGCCTAGTCATACACACCTGGAATTCACATGAAACTGGTTGAAAAAAATGTTTTCAACTAGGGTAGGGCTTGAGAAGAAAAGAGAAGTAACCCCCATAAAGACGAGAAAAAAACGCACAAGTAAGGAGGGCTAGCGGCACAAAGAAGACGACCAAACCGGAAAAGAACAAGAAGACTAGAATAGACTAAATCGTGAAGAAGACAAAGAAACGTTGTAGAGGCGACAAAGAAGATCAGATAAAGGAGTAACTTTTTACAGTTGCACAGGGATATCGGTAAGGGAGAAAGGTGCAATTTGTAACAATACATCCATGCGCTCCATGTGCTTTAGTGGTCCCACTGTGTATTTGAATAATATGTGTTCTATATTTATCTTGTTTCTCGATTATGGCTGTTTTCAGTGGTCCCCATGCTCGTAGATGTCTGATCTAAATTCATGATAATATTTGATTAAATGAAATAAACAATATACTATGTTTCTGGAGATCATAGTGCTTGATTCATTGATTGACCGTACAACTGTGCATAAATATTAAAATATTCAAATAACAACATTACATTGAACCGCATTTCCATCAAAAATCCTAAACATATTTGGTTTTGCCTTCATAGTCATTGTCAGCATCATTATTAAGTTTTCATCAAACTATGTAAATGATACATGTTGAGTTTTTATTTCCAGGAAAATCTTTTTTTTTTTAATGCAAAGTGACAAAGAGATTGGGAAGACCCATAAAGAATGTTAAAACATGCCTATGCTTGATTCTCTCTTTTTGTCTTTTTAAGCTAATTAACCATGATTATTAATTGCTGTTTTTTTTTTCAGTGTGATATATATATATGGATGCGTCAAATAGCTTGGGTAAGTGAGTACTTCCAATTAATATTAATATTACAATATAACTTGTGTGGTTTATGTGATGTCTAACCATATGATAAAAATTAGGGGGTGATGGAGGGAGTAGTGATGAAGACAATGAGTTTACTGTTGAGGAAGATGATGATACTTTTTGTGAAGAAGATAACATGTCATTAGATAATGTGGATGCCTTAATATTGACTGATGATGAAGATGCAAGCTCTTTATCATCTAATCGCAAAACTGATTCATTAAAATCTATAGATGAATCTGATTTGGATTTGGAAGAGGGTGTTGTGACAAGTGGGTGCAAAAAGTATAATCCAGATGAGATGTGCAAAGACTATATCTTTGAACTTGGAATGGAGTTCACCTCAATTACTCAATTTAGGGAAGCTGTTTGGGAGTATTCACTTTTGAATGGGTATGAAACAATATACATTAAAAATGATAGTGTAAGGTGCCGTATAAAGTGTGTACGTTGTGATTGGTTAATATTTATGAGTAAGGAGAGGGATTCCATGACATATCGTTTGAAGACTTATAATCCAAGACACACTTGTGGTGTGCCTTTTAGTTCTAAGAATGTTTCATCTAAATGGGTGTCAGAAAAGATTAAAAATAGAATAAAGAAAAATAAGAATATGAGTCTTGGAGATGTGATATCCACAATTAAAGAAGATTATATAGCAGATGTGTCAGTGCCTAAGGCTTATTGGGCACGAAGAAAGGCAAAACAAGCTATTGAAGGTGATTTTGTAGATGAGTATAAGAGACTATGGGATTACAACAATAAGGTCCTCTCAAAAAGTCTTGAAACTACATTCAAAATTTTGACAGATCGTCCCTTTATTGATAGAGCACCAAGATTCAAAAGATTATATCTTTGTTTGGATGCTGTCAAGATAGGATTTTTAGCAGCATGTAGACCAATCATTGGCTTAGATGGATGCTTTTTGAAGGGACCTTATGGTGGAATATTGCTGGTAGCAGTAGGACGTGATCCAAATGAGCAGTATTTTCCTTTAGCAATAGCTATTGTTGAAGGTGAAAATCGAGATTCATGGTCATGGTTTCTTGAGCATATTCTAAATGACATAGGAAGAACACAAAGATGGGTCTTTATTTCTGACCAACAGAAGGTAATTGATAGGCATTTATATTTCTTTTATCCATATGCATTTATGTCTTTTGTGGTTTTACAATATATTTTTTGTTGTTGTAGGGATTAATGCCAACATTTGAGTCACTTCTTCCTGAAGTTGAGCATCGCTTATGTGTTAGGCATTTATATGCCAACATTAAGAGTAGATATAGTGGTGGGTCTGTGATTAGAGATTTGGTGTTGCAAGCTGCGAAAGCAACATATGTCAATGGATGGAAGCAAAAATGCATGAGTTGAAAAATAAATCTAAAGAGGCTCATGATCATTTGATGAAGTTCCCTCCACAATGTTGGACAAAATCTCATTTCAGTGAATATCCAAAGAGTGACATGATTATGAATAACATATCTGAATCATTTAATGGGAGGCTTTTAGAGGCTCGAGAACTTCCAATCATTAGTTTATTAGAATGGATTCGCACTTACATCATGACAAGATTTCAAGAGAATAGAAAGAAGGCAGAGAAATTTAGAAGTCATGGAAGCGTATGTCCGAATCCAAGACGGAGGTTGGACAAAGAAGTTAGTCAATCACGAAAGTGGGTTGCACGACAAGCAGGAGAATTTGAATTTGAGGTCTCGTGTTACTCACACAAATTTTCAGTTGACCTTGCTACTAAGAGTTGTACTTGTAGATGGTGGGATTTAACTGGAATACCTTGCAGGTTTGTTACAAATTTTAGAGTTATGTTTGAATATTTGAATTGTAGGCATGTAGTTATTAACACATTATTAATTCTTAATTGCAGGCATGCAGTTAGTTCAATTTACGCAAAAAGAAAAGACCCTCATGATTATGTTCATCCCTACTTGAAGATAGATGCTTATGTTGAGTGTTACTCTCCCGTGGTGAAGCCGATTAATGGACAAGAAATGTGGGAAGTAACAAATAAGGAGGAGATGGACCCTCCGTCCTATCATAGAAGACCAGGAAGACCTCCAAAATTAAGAAAAAGAGCACCTGATGAGCCTTCCCAACCTAATAAGATTCGAAGGACATCCTCAAGACTTCGTTGTTCTTACTGTAAAAACTATGGGCATAATAGAAGAACATGCAGTGCCAGTAGAAGTTCACAACAAGAGTCTACCAGTACAACACCTCCATCACAACCCTAATAATAGAAGATCCTTTATATGCATATGTGGTCTAGGCCTTTTTGGAACCTTGTTGGATTTATTTGGAACTTCTTTTGATGTTTTTGGAAATATTGTGGATATGTTTGTAAAGTCTTAGATGTATTTGGAATTACTTTTTTGGGTAAAACATTAAGTATAACATTATGATCCATTTTGTATCTTTATAACAGATGAAAATAGAAGTAAGATAATTTGAAGAATGCAACTGATGGTGCTAATAATTAATTAGTTATCAGTATTTGATATGGAGAAGATCAGATTCACCTCGGTAAAATGACAAGAAAATTCTTGTGCGGCTTTCATATGATATATGAGAAAATAATTTTTCAAAAACTAGAATGATATTTACGATTTAATAAGGCAATGACCAATATCCTATAGCATTCTTGCATGGCTTTCATCTACTATGATTGCATTTACAATTTTTTGGTTTCTTTTATGAATATATCTTTTTATGTTTTTATTCCTTATAATTCATTATTCACATAAGAATGTCTAAATATCAGCTATGTTGTCAATGAAAATCCAAAAAGACACACAAGTCTGGGGATTCAAATGGGTGCATTAAATCATACTCATTAAACACATTGTCATTGATTATATTTCACTTTGCCCAGTGACAAACTCAATTATTTTTATATATTTTGGTATCTTTTATATGAGTTTTGTCAGCTTAATTGGTCCCTTTTGCCTTAATTGATTTATTTTGTTTTATTTTGAATTATTATTTATAGGGGCAAAATTGTCATATTTTGATTTAATTGTGATTAATTGATTTTTGAGTACAATTAATGCTACCTTATCCTTGAATTTTGCTTGCAGGTTCTTGGAAGATTCAAAAATATAAAAAAAAAAAAAGAAAAGAAAAGAAAAAAAATAAATTAAAAAAAAAGAAAAAAAATAATAAAAATAATAAAAGGGGGAGCAAACGTTGCGTTTTGCTCCACCCCTAATATAATTATTATCTTCTTCAATTAGGAGAAACACACACACGCAAGCGGCGCAGACGAACAGAGCAACAGGGAGGGAGAACACGAGAATCATCATCATCGGCCACTTCACCTTCGTCTTCTCGGCTGATCTTGAACGCGGAACCAGTGACGGCCGTGCGAACAGGGTGAAGGATTTAGCTTGAGTATATCAGCGTCTTCTCCTTCTCGGTCTGACGACTTCATAACATCTCTTTCATGGAAGCCTATAACAGAGCGTTGATTGCAGCATTTTTTATGGCAAAGCGAGGCTAGACTTCATAATCTTCCAATTCAACAATAATGGCAGGAGCTTACATCATCAAAGGGGAGTTTTAGTTGCTTTAATTTCCTGTCTAATAATTGTTTAACAATTCCTAGGTCTTAGGATAGTTATTCTAATTATTAGAAAATAATTGTATTGCTTAATCTGATTATATTGGAGATTATTGTGACTGGATTATTGCTTAGTATTTGACATTGGGCTGTTTATAGTTTTGATCTCAATTATAATGTTGTGGTTATGACATTTGTATTGATTTTGGAATTAATATATTGTGATTTTCTAAGGTGGTTTAGAATCTTGGATCATATTGTCTCTTGCTAGCTTTAAGTCTATTGTTGTGAATTTAAGAATTTAATTAAGCATTAGTTTTTAGTATCCTTAATTTCATTTTACTATTCTGGTTGCAGTTAGTAATTTGAATTTTTGGGAAAATATTTTTGAGGCAATTCGAGATGGCTCGGTTGTTGGATTAAAAGTTTAATTATAATTCTTAATTCATTGTTTTAACTCCTACATCTTTTAGAGTGATGATTGCCTGCGTTGTTGAATTGGAGGATTGATTTTTATCAGTGTTATTTGTGTGTCTCATTTTCATTTCTTTATCTCCATTCATTTTAATCACTTTTATATAAAAACAAAAAAAAAGTATTTTAATTTCAATTTGATTCGTAGTATTTAATTAACAGCTTTTCAAAATCAAAAATCTCTTTTTATAGTTTAGGTTACTTGTATTCTTTACTAGGGTTTAATTTCGTTTCGGCTCCTCAAAGTGAAACGACCGAGTTTTGCACTATATTGCATTAATTCGGTTAATTTTTGGAGTAACCCCAAGAGACAATTTAAGAAGGCAGTCATTACAATATCAAAATCTACAAAACTCTTGCCCATAGAGGCATTCTTACACCCCTTATAATACAAAGCTACATGTACTATTACATAAATAGTATACTCATAATAGTCCTAGTTCACAATATAATGCATCTCCAAATGGGGCTGCTTGATCCTCAACTTTTGTCTCTTTGCTACAATGGGTTATGGCAATTAGAGAATGGGTATCTCTAAAAAAAAACTAGTTACAGTTACGGGCTTCATAGGCACCCCTCCCTCCTTTGTTGCAATAAACAGTATGCTCTTTTCTTCATCTTTATATCATCTCAAACCTTGTATCAGGCAAAGATTCAAAATAAATCACAAGACCAATTCAGCTACAAATGTTTAAAAAAAAAAAGATTCAGTCATTTAGTCGAATAAATTAGAACATAATGCTATGTAATTTTCAAACACACAAGTGCTTAAGACACAACAAACCAGAACCTTCCTTACAATTTCCTACCATTACTAAAGTGAAGAAAAAATAGAACATATTATCATATCTGTATATTTTTACATCCTCTTCTTACATCACATCAAAATTAAAAGTCTTGATAATCCCGTAGCAAGACCATGAAAGCCAAGGACTACCAAAAGTAAGAGGGGGAAGCAGAAGTTTTACCAAACCTCATAATAAGCTGACAAAAGTAAAGGGAAACCCAAAATGAATAAATAAAACAATATTAGGGTGAAATATGTGCATAAACTCCAAATGCCAATAATTACAAAGGAGTGAGTGATCATTGACCATAGAGATGACAAAAAAAAAAAAAGCGAGTGAGATGAGAGAACAACTAGGAAGCAACCAACAATAAACATCACTAAAGAAAAAAGACTTGATAGAAGCTTCCATGAACACACACCAGAGAAGAGAAGAAGAGAAGAAAAATTAACTACCCAGAGAACAAAGGACGAAGATGATGAAGTAACAAGTGACGACCTTCAAAGACGCAAACCGTGATGGAGAAGAAGCAAATAAGCTCGATTTTCTCTGGCCGACGATGCTATTTCTTCTCATCTTTTGTCGCTCAAAACTCCCCGGGCCCTAAATCAACTTTTCTTTTTTGTTTTTTTAACCTCTTGCTGATGCATGATATCAGGGAAAGCTAACTCGTATTTTTTTTTTGCCAGCTAGGATATCTCAGTCATGACAGAAGATGGGTCATGGATGACAAAGGACAAAAAAATAAACGGTTCAAAAGTTAAAGGACTGAGTTATAAGCGAGTTAAAAGTTAAGGGACTGAGTTAAAGCGAGTCATAGTTAAGGGACCGAGATATAAGTGAGTTAAAAGTTAAAGGATTAAAAGATTAATTTTCCCTACTTATTATTACGGAAATTGGGCCTTCGGAGTTTGAGAAAACATCATCATCATACGACACACACATACATGATGCAGCAAAAATCGGTCAATTTGGATCGCATTTTATTATAATTATTTTTTGGATGTGGGTCAAAATTTCCCCAAGCAAAAAGCGGGGAAAACAATATAATTCAAAGGAAAAATATTTATTTTCTAATGATTATAATTTTAATATGGTCAAAGACTCAAGGGTAAGCCTTTCGTGTCGGAATGTTTTATTTACTTTTTGTTTTAAATTTTACAAGAATCTGGATTATTTGCCCTTTAAAATTTGTTCTATACCATTAAAATTGTAGCACTATTGTCAAAAACAAATAAATATAATATAGTGATGGGAAGAGAGAGAAACAAAATTAAATTTAAAATAATTCAAAATTCTCTATGAAATGAACACTTGTCATCTGAAATTTAATCAGGCATGCAATTAGTGTGACAATATGACATTCAAATATTCAATCTTCCGTGAAACATTTTTTGCCAAAAAAAGAGAAAATCGCAATTAAAGATCTTAGAATTTAAAAAACACAGATAGAGACCCATGACAACTTCATTATGGCTTTTGACAATAATAATATGTCATAAACTTGTTAAAACCCATGTCAAGTTATCACAGGT